TTCAGTGTCTCAAGGAAATTATCAAGGCCCAGGCGACTTGCCTATGGGGTCCGCAAAAGAACAGACCTTGATGTGGCAACAAAATTCCTATATGAATGACTCAGGCATCCATTCTGGTGCCGTTACTCAGGCACCATCTCTATCGGGTAAGGAAGATGAAGAAATGGAAGGGGATCAATTGATGTTTGATCTGGACCAAGGATTTGCACAGGGTTTTACACAGGATCAAGTTGATGGTGAGATTACATCTTTCTGGAAATTGGACCATTACTATCACAAAATGAAACGTATATTATGATTAATCTTTCAGAAATGAACCAACAATTGAGTCATACTCGGTCGCAGCGTGTGCACGCTGCTATGTTTCCTGAAACACTAGAGGAAGGTGTAGAGATACCTTCTACACAATTTGATCCAGCACAGCCTACCGCTGTACAAAGATTGGCTGAACCGAGTCAAATGCTGAAGCATGCTGTCGTCAATTTGATCAATTATCAGGATGATGCTGATCTTGCTACGCGCGCTATTCCCGAGTTAATCAAGCTCTTAAATGATGAGGATCAGGTGGTTGTATCTCAAGCAGCTATGATGGTACATCAGTTATCTAAAAAAGAAGCTTCTCGCCATGCTATTATGAACAGCTCGCAAATGGTGGCTGCCTTAGTGCGTGCTATCTCTAATAGCGACGATTTGGAATCGACGAAGGCAGCGGTCGGTACCTTGCACAATTTATCACATCACAGACAAGGCTTGCTAGCGATTTTCAAGAGCGGTGGGATTCCCGCACTTGTCAAATTATTAAGTTCTCCAGTAGAATCCGTTCTGTTTTATGCAATAACAACTCTTCATAACTTATTGCTTCATCAAGATGGCTCCAAAATGGCCGTACGTCTTGCCGGTGGTTTGCAGAAAATGGTTGCTTTATTGCAGCGGAACAATGTCAAATTTTTGGCTATTGTTACTGATTGCTTGCAAATTCTAGCATACGGAAATCAGGAGAGCAAATTAATAATTCTTGCTTCGCAAGGTCCAATAGAACTTGTACGTATAATGCGCTCTTATGAATACGAGAAACTGTTATGGACTACTTCGAGAGTATTGAAAGGTAAATTGATCAATATATTTTAATAATTTTGTTGAATTATTATAATTAAATTATAATTAAATTCTTTTATTAATCAATGATTCACTGTGTTTGTAGTATTGTCTGTATGTCCGAGTAACAAGCCCGCGATCGTAGAAGCAGGTGGCATGCAAGCGCTTGCTATGCATCTCGCAAATCCGAGTCAAAGATTAGTGCAGAATTGTTTATGGACATTACGTAATCTATCAGATGCTGGCACAAAGGTTGATGGACTTGATAACTTGTTGCAGAGCCTCGTTCTTGTGCTTGGATCAACAGATGTGAACGTCGTTACTTGCGCGGCTGGCATTTTATCAAACTTGACCTGCAATAATCAGCGTAATAAAGTATGTCGAAATAAAAAAAATTGCTTC